ATGAGACAAATCCATTAAAATGAGTTGTTTTAGAGACTTCACAAGGATTAACACAATCTCTGTGAAAAGCACAGTCTTCATGTTTTATTTCTCACCCTAAATGGGGCAGTGCTGCCCCTTCACATCCTTTATTGAATTGAGTGTTTTTCTGCCAGTAGTAATGTACATAAAAGTTGACTTGGAAATGGTGATAATACCATGAAGTCAGAGATCCTCAAGTTTTTCCCTTTAGCTAGCAGGTGGTAAAGCAAGGTTTTTCTAAAGTCAAAAATTTTTTCTATGCATTTGTTTCTTCTTGGATACCTAGCTGCAAAGGTGTGTGAAGAAACATATGCCCTCAATTTATTTTATCTGTATCATATAACAGTATGTGGATTTAGGTGAAAGTACTTGACTATATTTTTTTCTAAATGTGTAGCAGGAAAAAAAATGCTTTCTTTGCTCAACTTTCACTGTTTATTCTGACATCTTCAAGATCCAGCATCATGCAGGGAAGGTTTTTAACAAATTAAAGATGCCATTATTTCAAAGACAATTACAGCATCCTGGATGATTCAGTGGGATTTTGTTTAAGGCAAAAACAGTCCTGTGATTAAACAGAAGATCTTAGTTTAGATCTTAGAACTTAGAAGATCTTGGTTTAACTCTGTACATAGCTACAAATTTCCTGATAAATCCTGGGCAAGTCCTCTTTTATATATTAACTTTAGAGAAGAGCAAAGACAATGTCAATACAGCGATTACAGTGTGTCCAGATATAAAGGTAGTAAACCCAGTTCTAGCCTCTCTAGCTGTCAGTTATCTGATCCATCCTTCCTAACCCAAAGGCAATAATGAGGCAACATATGTCACTTCATTTACTGATAAATGACAAAAATTTCATTCATCCCAAACGCACCCTCTAGCCTGGAGTTTCACAGCTGTTTTTGGTCCTTCCCTATGACAGATGCTGCTCCAGTGCTGCAAGAAAAAAACCCTTTTTGCATATAAAATACAGCCATACTTTGGGGACTACTACTTTATGTCAATGCTGACCTGTAATAATGGAGATACCTGAATAATATACCAGATCCTATTCAGACTTAAGTTTCCTTTTTTTTTTTTTTTTTTTTTTGAGAAAGCAAAGCTTGCACAGAGTGATTCTGATCTCAAAAAGACCAGTAGGTTCTATGAGTTTTCCTTCAACAGAAAAGCAGTAAAAATAAGTCTTCAAACTCAACAGACTCTATCAGAGACCCGTGATGTCAACGGCTGACCCACTGCCCAGGCAGGGCAGATCAACCATGAGTATGAGCAGAACGTTGGCTGCTCCTGCAGTCAGTGAAGACGTGCCCGTGTCTGTGCCTCTTTACTTGGGCAAAGTAGAACCAAATGTCTGCTGAGGTTTTTAGAAAAACACTGAAATTTAACCAAACCCGTGGAAATGTATTTTCCCTTATTTATGTGCTGAACTTCACAAGAAAAGTAATCTTTAATACAGAAAATTGAAGAAAGCAAAAGGTAAACAGAAGTACACGCTTCCTCTCCTCTCCTCTCTTCTTTTTTTCTGTGAGTTGGGGGATAATTTCATATTTATTACGACATGAGTTGCAGATTTTTTTTAATTTACTGGCACCTTATGCCTTACACAAGGGCATTCAGCTACCTCTTTTTTTTTCTAGAGCTAAGATCAAAAGTGACAAATACAGAAATTCCTGATTTTTGTGGTCAGAGACAGTTGGTAGCAGGCAACGACTTTGTCTTTTCTGCTTATTTTCAGGTATATAGCCTTTGAAAGAAGGTGTGAATAAGAGCAGATGGGTTAATTTAAGTTAAAGGTACAAAACATCAAGTTACATCAAGTTACTTAGTTAAGAAAACCCACTGCGATTTAAAATTGATGTTTTGCTGTGTTCTTCTGATTAATCCCTATTGATTAATGCCCTTGAGTTTCTTTAAGAAAAATTAAAATCACTAAATTAATTCTGCTTAGAAAAGCAGCCAGTGAATAAGAGAAGGTGCTGAACGGCCTCCATTACCACAGTGTTTTAGCACATCACAATCCTTAATGTTTATCATCACTATTCCATAGTAAGGTAAGAAAATGCTCTTATCACTATTTTACAGAGGGTGACAAAAGCAGGAGGAGTGACAGTCCTTAAGTCACAATGAAGCCTGTGGCTGGCCAAGATTTACCTCTCCTTTGGATCACTTTTTCTGGCTCAGTCAATAATGTTCAAATGAAAAAGCTCTGTGATCTATGCTCTGGTCCTGATTCTGATGATACAGTTAACCAAATGCATCATGTAGTCAAACCAAGCCTCATTTAACCTTAAGGTTCCTGCAGATTTTAGATCAAGCTGACACCCTGGATTCAAACACTTGGTATGTATTTCTTTCCCCAAAGCCAGTAAAGTGAATTAATTTTGAACATCTTGCTCCCCACACCATTAAATCGTGCATCTCTCTAGAATTCAACACTGATTTTGCCCTTGCAGTCCTCATCTCCTAGGGCTAATCTCACTCCTCTGAGTTGTGGGAGTTTGCTGCAATCAGAAAAAAATACTTTGTCACATGTCCAGGAAATGTATCGCAAAGCTTGCAATCTCCTTTGGACAATCAGTAATTATTTGCTGCTAATGCTGATCAGGTACTAGTGTAAGATTGTGTTCTGAGTGTGAGGAAAGATAGAATTTACATTTAGACACAATAATACCAGTGCCCTTCAGATCCTTGCAGAAAGAAGTATTTTCACAGAAGTCAGAGAGCACTGCACTGCAGAACAGGACAGTGGAACTGAAGGTTCAGACCAAACAAACTCGCCCCCGCTTTCACCACAAAGCGTATGAGATTTTTTTTCAGAGAAATAGCACTTTTTTGGATTGTTCTGAATGCAGTAGGGACAACTGTTTGCCAAACAAGAGGATGACTCCATTTGGGAGAGTGGCATGAAGTTGTAAAAGACACTAATGTAAAAGCTAATGCAAAAACACAGTTGACAGCAGGAAGCAGAGCTTTTATGACAGCCTTCATTGGAGATTCTCTAGAGTACTTAATAGGAAAATAGAAAGAAGCTGAGAGAGAAAATGGAGAAGCTTTAAGAATTACAAGTGTTCTCCCTAGCCATACAATGTATATATCCACTAAATTAGGGCCCGTGGCTACCTCAGAAACCTCTTTTTCTTGTTGCACCAAGATATTTTGTCACTTGTATAAAACATAATGTAAACATGTATTAATGAACCTGAAAAAAAAGAGTACTCTTGGTATTTATATATAGGTCGATGCTTTCAAGCTTATCAGCCTACCCACACACTACTGATGATCTATCTTTAATGTTGTTGATAACTGGAAGATTGTTCTTGCACACAAATGATAGCATAAAATACCACATTTTTACTCCTACCAAAAGAAACCAAACAAACATTTTGCATGAGATGTTCATTAGAAAATAGTCAATCAGGCACCTACTGGTGCTCTTGCCCAGCATATTTGCTTCCAGTGCTATTTAATACTGCTTCAGCGTGCGAACTGTAACCACTGCAATTTCATGAGCAGTGCACCATAAGTCTGCACAGGTGTTTTGGAGCCTGGAGCCATATGAGTTGGCTGGCAGTTCCACTGACTTTAATCACTCCTCTGAAAAGAAAGCTCTCCTGGTGGAT